GAGAGGAAGGAGGTGCAGCTGGTACAAAGAGGCTGATTCGAGATGGACGACGTGCGACCACTTTTTAAACTCGTGCCACCTTCCAATTAGCAATTATTGAGACGTTTCGGCGATCGTCGCGGAATTTTAAGAAGGACACGTCCGTTCGATGGACTGAAATTTCATCGCGCGAAAAACTTCACCGACTCATCGTTTCTTTGATCAAAGAAACGTTTATACTTCGACGAAATTGTCAATCGTCTTTTCTTCGAATTTCATTTCTTCGACTTTGGTTTTTCTAGAGATTTCGAACTGTTCGTTGGAATTGCACACATCAGAGGTCTTCTATCCTTGAAAAGCAGACCAAAGATTACATAGTAGTTTAGCGGACGATCCGGCGTCACGGTGAGTCTCTTCCTTTAAACGCGAGACGTCTTCTCGCGTCTTTGCAGTTAATGCATCACAATCATCGCGGAACCAGAAACAAGGCCCATCAGCGAAGCTCGAGAGACCTGGTCCAGGTATGATGGATGGAGATGTTCTTGCTGGTCGGTTCACGAGGAAGTTATTACGGTTTGCAGGAGGGTGACGGCGATGCGGAGCGAAGGACTAGTCAAACCCGAGGCGGTGAGAAAAAAGTCAGAATGTCGAGCACGCTGACCCTGAAACTGTCTCGAAAATCATCTGTTTCTTTCTTTGGATCGAAGTAATTGGTTAACGAGCCCTCGCAATTTCGCATCCGATCGACCAACCTCTTTTTCCTCTACCTTATCGAGAGAGGTTTCTTATCAAACCTGGAATTGATTCTCGAGTTTCATACAAAAAAAAAAAGCAGATATAAATTTCCTTTCAAATATAAATTTGTAACAAACGACCTCGTTCGTTTGAACTTCTCGAATAAAAGAATCATCGCGTTTCTTGTTGCTCGAGCAAAAACAAGTAGTCGAGTGAAAAATAAGAAAGTAGAAAACGATGATGCTTCTTATTCGACAAGTAAAAAGCAACGTCCTGCTTCATGGTAAAGAGCCAGTCGGCTAATTGTATGTTATTATGGGGACGAGCGTATGCAAAAGGGGCTAGGCAACGCGTCCTCGTCGCGGTAACGACGAAACGACGAAATAATTAACGAGACGTTCGAACGGAAGGCGTGTGTTTAGTCTAATAGAAATAATTGCTCTTGAACGAAGCAAGATGGATCGGCTGAAACGATTCGATTCGAACCGCAAGAACCGCTTCTTACAATGTGTCTTGATCGGCAATTTATGTTAAACCAGTCGAACCAATGAACTCAATCTCATCAGGCGACTATGCAAAGTTTGAATTTCCCGTCGTTTCCAATGATTTATAAACCCTTCTGTTCACTGAATTGATCGAACCATGGGAATGAACGCTGACACCTCGACGATACGAATCTTGATTGCTGGATAGGAAAAAATACCGGATGACTGGCAGTCTTAAGGGACGTTGCAAGCTTTCTTTTTGTTTTCGAGCTCATCGAGCTTGAATTTGCATACCTGTAATTAAGAATATTTTTCTTTGTAGTATAAGTGATTTCATCGGGTGTTGAAAGCTATTAACCCCTTGCACTTGGAGTAAAAGAGGATTGAGACACTGTTTCAAGGATCAGGGTTCAAGATATATAAAAGTCGCGATGGAATAAAAATAAATTACTTAGATATTTTTCAAATAAATTAAACGAGATACGTGCTGCTACAATGTTCCTCTGAATTTTCATTGCAAAACGGTGGTATAGTTTCACACCGCGGTTGCCGCATACGTGCCCCGGCATAATTAGATTAATATACCGCGAAATTGGATTAAGAAAGCAGAGTGGAGCCGCGCAGATACGACAAGATTTTTCGTGAGAACACCAAGAGGGTTAATTAAGGCCCGACAGGCCGGGTGCAAACGACTTGTCACGTACGCGAAGCTCACCTTCACTCTTCCTCTCTTCATCGTGCTCTATTCAACTCTCCTATCTAACTTACCTTCTTCAATATTCTTGATAAAAAAACAATAGCTGCTTCTTCTTTGAAACAAACAATTCATATTCCAACTTCAGACTTTAAGATCATTTTTCTCATCCCGTCCTTTGTTCGTACAATTCTCAGCGGTTGAGCGTGTAAATCATTCGCAAAATGGCTATAGCGCGCTGGCGTGATTCGAAAAGAAAGAACCTGGGGATTAGAAGGGAGGAGAGGATACCGATTATGCTAATTCGCCACGGGCGTGGCTGGAAGTGTGATTACCCAGACGAAGAGTGATGCTCGTTGGCCTTGGGAATTTTCAACGCGTTATCAGGGCAGTGCAGACAGGATTGCGCGATAGGGAAAGAATAAAGAGAGGGCGGTTATCGGTACGCGATCACGGGGACGATCGTTGGCCGGTGTCGAAATCGAGCGAGGGAAACAAAAGGATCGTAGAGAGACGTGTCGGCGTCGTGGTGGTAGCTGTAGCTCGCGGTGCCACGGTGAAAGCTGCTTCGGGTTCTGCGGCATATAATTCGAGGGCATGTCGATAAATCAGCCAGCGAGAGCGAACGAGAGCGAGATCTAAGGAGAAACACGGAGAGACGGTGTGCGTTGCGACACGAGCTCGTCTATTCGTGGGCGGCTTGATATTCTCCGCAGCGTCTCTTGCTCCTCGATACCTATTTCTTCACTCATCGATTCGCTTATCTTTGCTTTTCACGGCAATTCGATAAGGTGAAAAGTATCTTTGACCAAATGGCTAAGTTTTGATAAGGGACCGGGTGTCTCTCCTATCGCGATGGTCATTAGACGCCTGGACTATTATGCGCCAAACTCATACCCGAACCTAGGTTCCTGAAGTTCATTGTTTAAACGCACTTTTGATATCGTATCTCAGCCAGTTCTTGGGCTACAGACTCTCGGGCTAATTCCTAACCACGCATACAGCGTACGTGTAACAATAAAACATTACGATTAGAGGCCATGTTTCCCGAGTTTGCCACACCGTTCGTCCGTCCGTAGGCGTCTCCTCTGCTATATATTGTCATCGGGCCCGATAAGTATCGTACAGGCCATCGAGACCCTACGATCCCCTAGTCTACCTTAAAATCTTTAATCGTATATTTTCAAGAACAATCCCTATCTGTCGAACGAATCGACAGAGTGGGTTAGATCCAGCCTCCTCTGACCAAGTCTTCCGTTGCTACCAGTCAGCATTTCTAGTAGCTAAATATATTTCTATCCTTCCACGCTTCACTGTAGCGTTGAAATCTGTTTTAATTGTACGGAAAGAATAGATCTCGCCATAATTTTCCCTCTAAGTGTTTATTACACCATAGAATTACAGCATTAGAAGCATTTAATCGCGATTTTCCTTCGTACTCTGGTTTCTCTGTTTTGCCTTTCTTTATAGTTAGAACATCATTTTCGAGGTTGAATGGAATGAATAAAACCTTATGATACAGGATATACAGTTGACGATTTTATAGTTGAAACGCGGCGTAGCGAAAGGATTAAGTACACAGACCGGAATAATCGTTCAGATTCTCAGATGTTGGCAACGGTAATTCGAATCCGTTAACACTCCATCCGAACCATTCGCTATCGGTTGTACAGCAACGAATCTTGTAGCTGGTATCTTTGTAAGAAGAGAGAAGAAAAAAGAAAAGAATCGTACAGGATCAAAGATCACGCTCTCTCGCAACGCGCCGCGCCGTCCCCTTGAGAAAGATGTCTCCTGGCCAAAGGATTACTCGGATACACTCCCATCGGATTCACGGTGTGTATCGGATACAATGCGATCCGTCCGTTCCCGTATCGCGTAATCGCCTTATCAAGGGAACACGCAGCCCGTACCAGAGGAACTTAACGGTTTCCTGCGTTCGATCAAAGCACCGTTCCCAGCGAAAAATTCCAATACAAATTTGCATGGAGCCGCTAGAATGCAGCGTGAAAGCTTACGTGTGTTGTGCGCCGCGGCGTTGCATTGGAGAGAAGGTGGAGGATATAGCGTAGATGAGAATGCAGGACAGAGAGGAGTGTGTCGAATAACTTCCTAGAGGCGCGCCTGTCACGACGCCCCGGGTCATTGGTCACCCCGTGCTTATCTCTGGCTGCTTGCGGGCCATCTCTCCGAGGCCCCTTTCAGACGGCTCGATTTTCATTGCGCGATTTCATTATCCCCCGATTCCCTGCCACCTATATATACAGACACACACACACACCTATGGTATGTTAGATCTCTTCTGAATGGGCCTTTCACACGGCCCGCGATAAATTGCCCGCGGGATCGTTCGAATGCGAGAGCTAGAACGGACGCGCTTCCGTGTGTGGGCCCCGGATCCCGAAGGGGTTCCTCTATTTCTCCGATGATTCATCTTGGGACACGTTTCTACGGCGATTTCTTCGATTTTCACCCGGTCTCTAGTTAAAGGAGAAGGTACCCAGCGATGGTAGCGGAAAATTTAAGACTTCCATGTGACGGTAAACAAACGAAATGGATAATTAGCAGCGTGAAACGTTGCTATAAGCCAGCCAGTGACCACGATTTATATAATCCTCGTGTTATCCGATATACGTTGGAACGGGTGGTAACACGGAAGCCTAGGTAACGCGAGGATAACTCTGGCGAGCGAGACGGGTTCCCAAAGCGGCGTTACGACACCGCGGAATTTCCGTGCCGATCGCGGCATAACCGTGAAGCAATTCGTCCGGGGAATCGTTTAACGCGGACCGCGATGCTCGACGGTCGAGTCACGATCGTTACTTTCCTCGCCCGGTCAGATATACACGCTTTAGAGAAATCCGAAACAATCGACGGTACCGCCCATTTACGAACACGCTCGTTAGGTAACCAGCCTTCGAGATATTCCTCGTTGATCGTCTACTTTAATCGTCGGTTACGCTGATGATGCGAACACTATGAGGAAGTAACGGGAAACGGGCCTCGCCCAACCGCTTTGACCCGATAAAGAGAAAAGATTCGTTCGCCGATTTCTTTTCAGCCCCGACAGTTGAAATTGTAAACTAATTGGTTGGCACCCGGTTCAGTTGCAGATGGAGCATAGAGGCGCGGCGCCGGATCAGCAGGAGTATCAGTAGCGGTCAGCGATCTTTGGGGCCCTGAGCGGGCCCTGTGGACTGGGACGTCGGCGCCAGGGCCCGTGCTCGCGACGGTGGGCGGCGTTGGAGCGCCGCGATGGCCGCGACCGACGGTCAGATCGTGGTTGCGGCGGCACGTTGGGCCGAGGAAGCGACGTACTTGCGTGAATTCGTGTCCAAGTATCGTCTCCCGGCGGTGATCAAGATCACGAAGGGCCAGTACGGTGGTCTGGGCGTGCCGACCCTTCCGGCGCCCAGTTTACAGAGTACTGCCCTCTTGGTGTCGGCCGGACGTCGACGGAAGATCGTTGCTCAGGCGGTGAAGATCAAGGAAGGTCGTAGGGTGGTGGGCGTAGGGCCGAGGTTGGCTATTCCCGATTCTTACGCGGGTTACTTCGAGATTCTGAGCGAAGAGGGTAGAGCGGTGCGCGGTATCGAGTCGGTGAGCGAGCTATGTCGAAGATGCCCGGAGGAAGGAGCATTGGTACGAGAAACCGTGAGGGGTATAGCTTGCAGAGTGGACGACGAGTCGGGCATAGTTGTTCCCGAGGGGACGAGGACCTTGACTGCCGGGGAGACGATCGTGACGGCAGGGGAAGTGAGTCTTCCTGGTCGCGGTAGATTTCTGCGTTGCGTCGACTGTCGAGGGGACAGCGTGCTGCTGGGCATGGAGCAGCGTGGCCGCTTCAGCGCCCTTGCACGCGAGGACAACATCAGCGGCGTGCACACGGCCAGAGCGTTGCTCAGCAAGCGTTTGCCTTTGACAGTCAGACTGGTGCACGGACAGCCGCCCAGGGGGCTGAAGTCGTCGTCGCAGTTCGTGCCAGAGCTCAGGTTGTTGTCCACGTTCGAAGAGGAGCACGTGTTCGCGTTGCCGTTGCAGAGAGAGGGCGCCGCAGTGGCGTTGCCGTTGGCAGCTCCGCTGAAACTGGTGAAGGCTAGGAACGAGGAAGCACTCAGGTCGATGCAGGAGTTCACGAGGCTGGTGGAACGCGCGTCGCGCCTTGTCGCCGACGTGGCAGATCGCGCGCACGTGCTGGACGGTCGTCTGGGCGAGAGCAAACCCTCCAGACAGACCAGAAGTGGTTCGGGCTTTCTCAGGCGGTCGTCGACCAACTCGGACAACGGGCCGTTGAGCCACCACAGAAACAACGCTAGCCATCATCATCACCATCATCATTATCACAGCAACGGACATCAGGCGTCCTCTGGACACGCGGGATACAGGGACGAGAACCGCGTGCCTCCTTCGGTCTGCACGGAGGAGTACGACGAGATCGATCAGATCTACGATTACGTTCGCGGGTTCGCCCCGTTGCCGAAGAGCGTCAGGTCACCGTACGAGAGTCCACTGCCCGCCCCGCAAGGCTCTAGTCCGCCTTTGACACCTGTCACCGTGACAGTAGCACCTCTGTTGGACGACAGACCGGAACCACCGCCCATAGAAACCATCCCGACCAAGAAGATACAGGCGGAGAAGAGAACGAGGCGCGCCGTGAAGGAGGCACCACAGCCCAGGGTTGAGAAACCACCGTTAGCTAAGCTGTACGTGAAGAACAGCGGCACTCAGAGGGGTCGCCCTTTGATGAGGCAGAAGAGCGCGTCGCCGTTGAAGGAAACGCCTCCCGGCTACAAGGGAGGCTCCCCGCTTTTCAACATCCGATACAAGAGCCTGACGAACCTTCAACAGGCCATGGAACTCGACGGCACCTTGGACTCCAGTCACTCTGGGGGCAGGACGTCGGGGGACTCCGGTGCTGGTGCTAAGCTACCGGAGAAGAGGTACGTACGACAGATCGTTATAAGGTAGGATAGACTCGGATGAGTTTATCGTCTCGAAATCGATAGCATAAGTCGTCTGTTCCCCAGATCGCGGCGTTTGAGCAGACCACGTTCTCTGACGAATTTAGTGTGGGAGCTTCGCGGTGGAAGTGGGCTAGGCTGCGCGAGACCGGAAACACCACCGCCCGCCACAGCCGCGCCACTGCCACCGACCAAATGTGGGCCACGTCTGGCTGTCACCGTGGTGGCACCCCGGCGTGTCGGCACGCTCTACCTCTAACTCGTAAGTACCATTCCCTACATTTTTCCAACGTGTACCAAAACTTACAAAGGATAACGAGGCTGTAGAAATTCGACGCATCGCTTTAACATCCCTTGTTAGCGTCACGTAAATCCAACCGGTGATTCCCTTATTCCGAAGTTACGGTATACAAGAACGTTGACTGATGGCACAACTTAACCCGAGAAAACTGAATGTTAGAACACCATTGCTACCCACGGGAATCCTTGTTTTCTCGCATACCTATGGTGTTCAACCTAATCGATTACCATTACCCGGCTGCAGTAATCGCAGCTTCCCTCGTTAACTTCAACTTTTTGCCCCGTGAACGATCACTTTGTCGCCTCGTAAACTCGGCGTGAAAAAAAAAAGAACGTCACTTCGGCTAGGCGCGTTCGAGTATAATCACGCTAGTGTTTTCCAATGAGATTAATTTCCCCGCTGCTACTTTATCGAGCAACCGAACGATCCGTTCGTCGGTGGACGTCGAGGTTGCAATCAACCAGGAAAGGCGTACCGGTTACGGTGCAGTTACAGCGTACTTTGTCCGGGAATCGTTAAATTTACAGGATCCAACCGGGGTCGATCCCTTAACGAACCATTTTACTGCCCATTATAAAAGGCAGCCAGGTGTTTCCCTATTGCCGCGAGTCCTTATTGGTTTAATCGCTCTTACTACCCGACTCGATCGTCATAATCGCGTCTAAGAAACGCACCTGTGCTATCCAGGAAACGATTGCTGTTATTGCGAATTATTGTGGTTAAGCTGTCTAATGCTTCTGCTGAAACGGTAAGCTCAGCTACTGCCTGCTTGAGCAATTAACGAGGGGGGATAGAAAAGATTCAACGGCACTCTGAGGTATGATGATACCACGATGGTACCCTGAGGATACCAATTGGAATAAAAGTCCAATCGCGTTGATGCACGATTTCTGGGACGTTCTCTATCGGATTTAAGTATGTTTGAATAGAATTCCTAGCTATGGGAAAAGGGGAGGTTCTAGGAGATAACGAGGGAAAGAGGAACGAAAGCGGGACGGTGGTGGAATGGTCGATAGCGAGCGGACAGCCTCGGGATAGGTAACGTCATCCTCGCCAATGTAATAGGCCTGGTTCGACTGAAAGCCGCTCCGTGAGCGGAATTAAACGAGAGCAGGTTCAACGGCTGAGCATACCGTGGCTTCCGGTCACCGGGAACTGGATCGCGTGTTACGAAAATTATGATCGGGCCTGCCCTGATCGGCAGCCAACAGATCCGAAGCAGAACCAGTCGGGGTCCGTGCGTGTTTTCTACATCTTACTTTGTTCGATTACTCGTTGAAACGATACAACATCGAAACGTTTGCTGGAATGAACTTTGACCCGTGAATGACCAATTAAGTGGCGTCGTTCGAAAGGTGATGCCTTCTTATGATTTCCTGCTTACCAAGCGGAACATCCACCGTACACCAGTGTCATTTTAGAGTTTTTAATCAGCTGATTAAGTAATTAACTCGTAAACCTTCAATGTTCCGCTCGACGGCTAAGGGTATCTATAAAACGTTTTATGAACACCTTTCTGTCGGATTAGCCAGCTGATGAAGCTGTCCTGTTAACGGCACGAGAAAGCCATTTTCTAGTTTCCTCGAATCGTTTAATTAACCAGAGCTTATTCTATAGAAATAGACAATCTTGGATAACTGGGTGTAAAAAACTCCAGCCTGTTTTTCTCTACTAACTAGCGGAAATTAAGAACTCGATCTCGGTACTTTATTTTTTATTTACCAATATCTTGATTAGAGTCAGATGCCGTTCTACAGAGAAAAGAACATCCGTATTATTAAAACCATCAGAGTAAATCGCGTTAAATTTCCCGATGACCCAGCATGCAAGAAGCAAGTCGGAAACTGGTACCGGGCACGAAGGTCTTCCGAGTATCCCACGAGGTCGAAGACGCTCGAGTCATCATCATTGCGGACTCCTACGAGCAAGAAAGCCTCGGTTCGTCCCGCTGACGAGCGTGGTGCACGCGAAATTTCCTCGTGGTTCGTACACGCGAGAAAAAATTCCAAAACGAATCGTATTGCGTAACCGGCGAGCTTCGCTTTATCGTGGTCGAGTGCAAATTAGTGCCGCGTTGGCCTTCGCGCCCACGCGTCTCTCCCTTTCGCGAGCAGATAAATAGCCGCTCGTGCAAGATGCCTCGAGAGGACGCGTCTCGCCCCTCTATATCACGAATTTAATTTACAATCGGTTCGAGACTACGCTCGAGCCGTAACGAGGCCGGGAAAATGGAAAACCACGAGCAAGTAGAAAAGTCGATGAATGGTCAGCCGGTGGTAACCGTTCGCTCCGCGTTCCCTGGAAAAAATGATTGAAAAGCTGAACTGGTCGACGTTAACACGGAACGGGTACGGGTTCTCCGCGTCTCTAAATCCACGGGTGTTAATAATTACCAGGCATTGATAAGTGAAACGAGCATCCACGAAGATAAAGAGAATCCATCTAACGGCACGATTTTCATCGTTTTTCCCTGGGATTACTTTCTTGTTGTTAATACACGGACGATTCTACTCGGACGGCTAATCCATATTGACATTGTAGACTGGTTTATCTAATTACCCATTTCGTTTTCATTTCTTGCTCGTCTTATCGTTCCGCAGCTTGTTAAAATCTATTAGACTGTGAAATGAAATCAATGGATGGTACACTTGCTACGCTTGGGAAAACGGTGAGGGAAGAGAAGGGAATGATGATAATATGCGTTTCGTTTAGGGGCATAATGGGATGGTCAGTGAGTCTACTGGTAGATTCTTATCTTCTATACGGAGATAGTTAGAGTCAAGTCAGGTATACATTAGGATAGATAGTTAGAGGAGAACTGCTGATGGTCCTTCTGGTTCTTAGCGTAGGATGTTATTACCATGAATAATGGCGGATATGACCATTTTGGCAAGTGACAGAAGCGTGGTCCTTTCGCTGAACGTCTTTCCAGTAACGCACAGTGGAAATATCAACGAATGGTCCGACCATCAGCCATTAACACCGGGGTGGTCGAACTGGTAGCGCAACGAACAAGGTAGCAGAACGAAGTTTTATTTCCAATTTAGTAGGAATTTCTACGATACTATTACGGTCTATCAGGGGGTCTGGAACAACATTCTTGCAAGCTTACCGAGCCGACGGCACGAGGATGTGTCACACGAAACCGCAACGAACATCGTGGCGGATATTAGAGGAGGAGGAAGAGGGACTGTTCCCTGGCGAAATTGTCCAGCATCCTTCCGCGGCGTGTAGGTAATTGGCCTCCGCGGGGATCGCGGTTAATCGAAGCCCATCTCTTTTTCTACGCTCTCCTCTTAAGCTTTCTTTCCCTTTTTCTTTTTATCTTTGCTTTACTTTGCTTTCTTTCCGTGCAAGAGGCCGGCGCGAATCGAACGAATGGATTCCACGGTAAAACGTGAACCGATTGTGGGTAGCGAATTAGATGATGAAATAAGTAGCGAGCCTAATGACGGAGAACGAGTCAAATGGAAAACTGTACGCTGGATTTTCGAACTTTTCAGCCGTGTCGGTTGAGAATCAGCCATGCTGGAACCTTGCCTCGTCCGAACTTGAGGGGAAACGGTGAAGCTCATCGATTCGTTCCTTTACCAACGATTTCTTGCTAGACCTACGTGTCGACGATTAGAAGTGTTTAAGCTCGATTAAATTTCAAGTTTGAAGCGAACGTTTAGACGAGTACTCGCGAGAAAGTTGGCATAGCCTATGATCCCTCTGGTGGCGAGTAACAGCACCCATTTACATCATCGCCATGTTACGCGCGGAGCGTCCTTCGACTCATCTGCTTGGTCCAGGCATCTGCGAGCACGGTGTTCGCCGGTCGGCGTCTTGGTACCGTGTGTACGTGCATATTTGTGCGTGGGCGGAGACCAGTAGCCGGCTCGCAGCACGGCCGGTTGATCGGCCTGTTGGACCGTGACGTGCCAACCACTACCACTTTATTATTACTACTATGCACTGCCGCGCATTACTCTCGAGGGCCCGTGTTCTCCGTTCGGCGTGCAACGCGTTTGCCAGGCTGCTATCATGGTTCCGTGGTTCCTCGGATGCCTGGATGGGCGACCGGTGAAAGGGAGATTAAGTTCGAGGGATCGGAAAGTACTTTTCTTCGGTGAAGAAGAACCAACTCGTGTGGGAGGTTCGAGCGTATGCCGAGGGGTTAAAGATCTTGCTTGTCTTCAAGGTCGATGCGGTTTTACCTTGTTGCTTGGTTACTTTTCTGGTCAAGTCATGTGAGAAGTCGAGGATGCGAGGATTAGGTTGCAAAGGGTGGTGTATAGTCGCTGTCACGATGTAGCCAGGTTGTAATTCAACACGTTTGGGTTGTGGAAGATTCCTCGGAGCTACCTAAAATTTTCTTATCGTTCATTGAGCTTGACGTCTTAAGATATCGCTCGGTCGAGAGGATACTCCAAGTATCTTTACCGCAGACCACAGTGTTCGGTATTGAAAATCTCGAAGAAAACTCATGTTCAGGGTGTTTAATATCAAATTACTGATGGATGTCTCAGGAGGAGCAGGATAAAAATCTATCCCAAACTTCATCTTGCGAAGCTGTCGCGGCGCGTACGGGCGAGTAAGCTCCGTTGCCGGCATCAAACGGTTAAATTGCACGACACGGGTCGCGTATAAATTCAATTAATGTCACCGTTCGTGGAAGGTGCAATAATTGATTGATAAAAATCGAAGAGAATAAGGTAGTTTCGCGGATCCCCTGTGCACCAATCACGGTAGGACAGGTAACAAATAATAAATTTACAGTCCCGCCACGGGGACAGAGTGTATACATTGTGGATTATGGTCTCGAAGAGAATTTATAATCCGGCAACGCTGAAATTGTGCACTCGCGCGAGTTCCGTTACGAATCTACCTTGTACCTTGCACCGGCGGCCACCTAACCGGACTTGCAACATTCGCCAGCTGAAAACCACCTTGGTCATCGCGTAACACACATGATGCTC